TTGACATTGTAGTGGTATGGGATTACGTCCTTGAAGTAATAGTGGATTAATTGTAACCAATCCATGAAGCTGTCAATAAACTGTCGATTAGACGTATGATTGTGATCTGCGATCACAGTTCACCTACAAGTCTTGCACAAAGTACAACACAGTTATGAAAGGTAATGAAACGGAAGGTAGGGTAACCTCCTTTCTGTTTCACCTTTGTGGGAGGGGTGCGGCTACACGTAGGCTATCTGAATAGCTTCGTTAACAACATGGAACTTCATCACAGTACAGAGTAACCTTAGCTTTAAATGTTAATCGTCAAGGGTCCCAAAGGTGTCCGCCTAATAGAGGTTTCCCTGTATACGTGACCAGCGAACTTTTTCTTTCATTACATGAAAAGCTCAAGATTTCCCTGAAAACTTGCACACAAGAGGAGAGATTCGAAGTTTTTCCTTTAATTTACGTGACGCATGAATTGTTCTTTCATCATGCATGAATTAATCAAGACTCCCCTCCCCTTTAAACATTAAACATTCAGACCCGTGAAAAAAAAATGCCCACCAAATTTCAGCAGTATGAAAATGAACTCTCATCACTAGATGTTGCTTGCAACCAGAAAAAGGATTGTATTTCGATTGCGAAGCAGTCATGCATGGTCGGTCGAAACAAATATCTTTGGATTGATGTGGTCAATTTTATACGGTCATTTCTCCGACAAATTGAGCTGCAATTACTTGAACTTTTCAATACGTGCTGGAGAGATAACAATTTTTGTTACCATTGGGATGAAACTGAAATCTTGCATATCCGGCGTTTCGAAGAAAAAATTGCGTGATTCTACGGTGACCTTTTGTGCGACTTTAGTAACATGATTATGCCCCAAAAGAGAAAGCGTTCAACACTCATCATCTCATATTCTCAGTCGAATCATGGACAATGGCCGATCTCGATCGCTTCTTCACGGTAGAAAAAGCTCTAAATCTCTAGGTTATTCGACTTTCGATCCTGGAGGATCAATTGACAGAGGAATTCCAGCCAGCGAAGATCTCGAGAGAAGTTCTAAGAGGAACAATCCAAGGGCTACAACTATTGAAGAAGAAAGGGAAAGTCTTTCAATTTCGTGGGAAAACATCGATGTATTTGTTGAGCAACCCGGGCCATCTTTCTTGAAACGTTTGTGTTTTGGAACAGGAGACAACGAGAGACCGACTACTAAACAAATTCTTTTTAATGGTGAGTGATTTTTTTAGCCGGTTATTAGCTTATGCCCTCATATCAATCGTTCCAAAGGAGACTGGACAAATGGTATTCAAATGTCGTTCAAATGTCAAATTTAATTTACCTCAGAGTGATTTTTCCGCTTGCGCACGCTTCATCTTTATTGAAACTGAGATAAATTGAGCTTGCTTTTCAAAATGTTCCATATAATGAAGAATTTGTATTTTTTTGCTTAGCTCTAAAGAAAAGTTATAAACGTGACTTGAGCACATAAGCTTTGTTTGGCTTAATCACATGGCCCCGGTTGTTCGAAGGGGAAATAACGCCATCCACTCTATCTCTATCCAGTGTATAGTGCAGTACATTTCGTTAGCATTATCCGTTGGATAGTGTTATCTCCGAACAACTGGGACTTGACAGATAAGCGTTAAGCGCTAGTTTGTCTGTGCAAAACACATCCTACTAAAACTTTAACAAGCGACAAATTGATCATCTCCGGTAAACTTAAATTAAATTTATTTCACGCAAAGAATTTTGAAAAATGAAAGCTTCAACGAGGAACTGACCTGTGCCTCTGAGATGTTTGATTGATTACGAAATAAGCTGTGAAAACACATGCTATACTGTGGTAGTACAGTTTTGATGTGCGGGAAGGAGACTAAACATAACGCCAAATTTTAAGGAATAGCAATAGATTCAATCAGAATTTTTTGAGTGAAAGGCTCACAAGAGACTGGAGGTTCCGTGAAAAAGTTATTTTTCGAACGTGAGTCTCATTAGAAGATCGCTCTTATTATTTTTAAATGTGTTTCAGGCGCAACTGAGATGTATGCCCCTTGTGGATTTGAATTGTTTTTGAGTAGTCTAGCAATTCTTAGAAATATTGAGTTCCTTAGGAAGTTGACACTTTCCGGGTATTATTGCGGAAATCACGTAATTTTGCGGATTAATATTTTTAAGTAAAGGCCAGCGACGAAAGTGAAAAAAGATATTTCACTTATCTGAAATTTCTTTTTTTCTGCCGATTTTTGGTAACCGACTTTTGATTGTTCTACTTTGCAGTGAGCGGCAATGTCGAAGCTGGTACTTTGTTAGCTGTTATGGGATCAAGGTAATAAAAAGATTATAGACTTGGTAATTATGTAGATCCATAGTTTTAAAACGTGACCAGTGTCACGAACGGGTGAGATGAAGTTAAATGTTGTCTTCCGAATCAATCAATCAATGATACAAT